GATATTAGTTCATGATGTGTGGATATTTTTGCTGTGTAGTCGGATATTAGTCTAAGACATCCATATATTAATCTGTGTGTGGTGGGTATTAGTCTGTCTGTGGTGGGTATTAGTCTATCATGGTGACGATATTAATTATGGTATCATCGGATATTAGTCTTAGAGGGTGGGATATTAGTCTGGGTGGCGTGGACATAAGGATATTAGTCTGGTTTGGTTTGGATATTTGTTTTATGTGGTGTTTATCTATGTTTATGATGTAGTGATTATAATTTAGGATTTAGTTTTTGTGGTTTAGTGATTATGGTTTATTTTTTTAGGAATTAGGGTTTAGAGTTTATATGTAGTTGGTTGGGATTTGATTTAGGTTTTAGAAGACGATATTGTGGAAATTTTTATGAATACAATGTAGGGTGGTTCGATATTTGTTTATGGGTTTGAGTTTTGGTTTCGGGTTTAGAAGAAAATATTGTGGAAATGATTTTGAACACAATGTATGGTGGTCAATTTTAGTGTGTGGTGATAAGATATTATTATGTGATTGGAGGATATTTGTTCATGATGTGTGGATATTTTTGCTGTGTAGTCGGATATTAGTCTGAGACATCCGTATATTAATTTGTGTGTGGTGGGTATTAGTATGTCTGTGGTGGGTATTAGTCTATAATGGTGACGATATTAATTATGGTATCATCGGATATTAGTCTTAGAGGGTGGGATATTAGTCTGGGTGGTGTGGACATTTTTTTTATGGTGAAAGGATATTAGTCTGGTTTGATTTGGATATTTGTTTTATGTGGTGTTTATCTATGTTTATGATTTAGTGATTATAATTTAGGATTTAGTTTTTGTGGTTTAGTGATTATGGTTTATTTTTTTATGAATTAGGGTTTAGAGTTTATATGTAGTTGGTTGGGATTTGATTTAGGTTTTAAAAGACGATATTGTGGAAATTTTTATGAATACAATGTAGGGTGGTTCGATATTTGTTTATGGTGATAAGATATTATTATGTGATGGGAGGTTAGATATTAGTCTCTGTGTGGTGGGTATTAGTCTATAATGGTAACGATATTAATTATGGTATCATCGGATATTAGTCTTAGAGGGTGGGATATTAGTTTGGGTGGTGTGGACATTTTTTTTATTGTGAACGGATATAAGTCTGGGTGGGTTTGGATATTTGTTTTATGTGGTGTTTATCTACTTGTTTGTATATGATTACATCAATTTAGGGTTTAGTGTTAGGGTTTAGACTTTAGGACTTAGAATTAGGGTTTACGATTTAGGGTTCGGGTTTTGATTTAGGGTTTAGATATTAGTCTGTGTGTGGTGGGTATTAGTCTATCATGGTGACGATATAAATTATGGTATCATCGGATATTAGTCTTTAACGGTGAGATATTAGTTTGGGTGGTGTGGACATTTTTTTATTGTGAACGGATATTAGTCTGCAAAGTCGGATATTAGTCTGGGTTGGTTTGGATATTTGTTTTATATGGTGTTTATCTATGTTTGTTTGTGTTGATATTTAGTTTTAACAAATCCGTAATAAAACAAAGTCGTTTTTCGACAAACCGCGATACAACTAGTATTCAGTGTCATTCCAACTTTGCAATCTCATAATCTAAAATCCGTAAAAGTACAACCACAAATATGAAAAAGGAATAGTTCAAATGTTGTCTTGCTTGGCCAAACTTTCGATAATATTTTTGATCATATCCCTCAAAGCCCTCCGTGTTCGATCATGCCATTTTGGGGTGTGGATAATTGTTATGCTGAACGGATATTAGTTTGCGACGTTCGGATATTTAGGCTGGGTGGTTTGGGTATTTGTTTTGTGTGAATGGATATTAGTATGTGATGGTTAGACATTAGTCTGTGTTGTTTGGATATTTGTTTTGTGTGGATATTTATCTACTTAATTTATATTATTGTTGAAATGAACTAGTATTTAGCATCCCCAAATCACAAAATGTATTCCATAACAAAACACTGGTTTTCAAGTATCAGGACACTAATATCCATACATGGCAGAGTAATATCCTGATTGGGAGAAAAAAATATCAATAGATAACATAACTAATATCTGGACAACCAATTGCATACTAGAATCCACATCATCAACAAATTGAATCCCAAATACCCCATGTCTAATCCCAACTACATGGGCATTATAGTGCCAGAGTAAGAGATTAGCCGCAATGAGTGCTCCTTGTCTTCCATTATGCAAAATCCCTGAAGCACATACAAATATTTGGTAAACATAGAAAAATATCCAATAAAAAGCAGACAAATATCCAAACATGGAGGACAAATATCCAGACATAATATTTTTAATATCTGGACATCACAAAACTAACATAATAGAAGTAATATCCAGATACAAACAAATAAGTATCCAGACATAATATAACAAATATCTCAACCGCCCAAAACAAATATAAGTGAACCAACATCCATATAGGGCAGAGAAATATCAAGACAGAGTAAACACATATCCAGACATCACATAACTAATATCTGAATGATCAACTAAATAACAATATCCACATCATCAAAAAGTAGGATCCCAAGCATGCTAATTGTTATCCACTATGAAAGGAACTAATATTCCAGATCTACAAATCGAATCCTAGATCCCAACCACACAACTATCCATGCAATTGAAAACTGATATCCTTCCTGAACAAAACTAATATCGGAACGCACACCAAACATATCCACAAAACCCAGAAAACAAAGCAACCCAGATCTAGTCAAATCCACAAAATCCACAAACCTAGCAACCCAGACCCAGATCCAATCAAATCCACAAACTCAGAAAACATATCCACAAAATCCACAAAAGAAAGCAACCCAGATCCAGTCAAATCTAAGTTAACAGAAAACAAATCCATCAAACCCATCGGAAAAAAAATGTAGGAAAAGAAAAACTCAGATCTAGTCGAAGCTATGCAACCTTAACTCAATCTACTCAAACGAACATGAGTATCCATGAACAAATGGGAAAAAAACTCTGCTACCTCAGTCAACGAAGTAGTTCTTTCGTCAACGACCGCCGTCAACCAACCCTTCGTCGCGCGCCACTTCGTCTGCACTGTCATAATAAGCCCGCTTCGTCTGCACCTTAGCCGCCGTCAACCAACCCTTTCGTCGCCGCCGCTTCGTCTGCACCGTCGCCGCCGTCAAACCAACCTGGTCGCCGTCGTCGTTATCGGGAGAGGAAAGGGAGAGGGAGAGGAAAGAGAGAGGGAGTGAAAACAATTGATTTTTGGAGAGAGAGGGGAAAAACGTGTCTGGTGGAGAAAGATTAGAGAGGGGAGGGTTTTGAGTAAAAAAAAGTGGTGTTTTTTGAATTTGGGGGCCTGGTGGGCCCCATTTTTTTTTTTTTTGTAGGCTTGGGCCAGTCGATGGACTCGGCTCTCCTCCCTCACATGCTGGCGCCAATCTACCTCCACCGCTGGATCGTGGCTTGGAGACGTGGCTGCCCATCTAACCCTATCAGTATCTCCTAACAAAATGACCTGTTAGGAGCATAACTAGATTGCAGTTGGTCCTAATGAGCACACGACCGGAGGGAGAGACCGACTTCTATAGGAGATAAGAGAGCATGGTAACAACGTAACCAACCCTCTCCTAGACAAAGACAAAAACGATCTACATTGATTTGCTCATGGGTATACCCAGCTGAAGGATCACACAACCCAAGTCCTGACCCTGGCACCAACGGTGTGATTCGCTCAGTCGATCCTAACATCCAGCAGTGGATAAGAGCTCATTGTAAGCTCTAACACTTTTTAAACAAGTTCCTTATATTACATTGTAGATACTTCAACGATCTTTATAGGACCCAGAAAACTAGAGAAATGTTTAATTTTTGACATTTGGTCGTAACACATGTCTTCTATTTTTCTTGCATATTTGAGTGAAAATGCTAGCCAGTAATGTTCTTAGGTTCAAAAAATAAAAACTGAAGAACATACTTATCAATGTGTAATTTTCAATCATGTTGTTTTAACGAAAAATTTGTTCTCATTCATTGGTAATACATGGATATCTAGATATGAAGTGTGGTGCGTGAAATCTAAGTGACAGTTTGACCTTAAACTTCCTAGCTCATTCAGTCACATCATTAGCTTTCAATGTCTTTCACACCAAAACTAAACGCTTTCATTTCTGGTATGGAATTTTAAATTTTGATATATACGATATTCATGAATTTCGTTTCCTCTTCTTATATACGTTCATATTTAATTTTAGGGCAATATCTATTTTTTACCCAAACCTTTTCCAGATTCTTTTATTTTAACCAAACCTATTGAATTCCTAATAATTATCCAAACGTTAACTCTCCGTCAATATTTCTATTAGTAATGTTGACTAAGTATGACCACAATGAGTTGACTTCCTACGTGGCGGTCAGAATACCATCATTTACTATTTTTAAAATAAAAGAATAAGTAACAAAATAAGTAACGATAACATAATGAATGCCCAGATTTTGATAAGTTATAATACGTTAGAATTTCTATAAGTTTGGTTAAAATAAAAGAATCTTAAAAAGGTTTAGGTAAAAAATAGACATTGCCCTTAATTTTAATTGAATGAAGAGCTGAACTATTATGATCAGACTATAATTCGAACGAAAATTCGAAAACATTAAAATTAGAGTGTGTTCTTAATCTAATCTTCGCATGCAATCAAGGAGTCCCCCTAGCCAATTGGTTTTCAGGCCCTTCGTGATATTTTATAGATAAATTATGAACAAAAAATGGCATAAGTTATATTCATGAGCAATAAATCCAAAATGTCAAACATTTGGTTACCTTACCCACATGTGCGTTCCACCACCCAAATCCAATTTTTTGGCCCCATTCACATTCCAATTCCCTTTATATAAAACCCATCCCCTCCAACCCAATTCCTCACTCAAGTTCAAGTACAAGAACTTTTATATATCAATTCTTCATCGTGGTAGAAATCCATAAAGTAATTAGATGGCTACATTTCATCACACTTTTCTCCTCCCACTCCTCCTGGTAACTCTGGCGGCCGGCGGAACAGCGGCAGTAAAATTCCACGTCACCACCACCACCCCAGCAATCCGATCCACCTTCAACCGCCGCATCGGGATCCGGTACGCGACGCAGACCATGACGACAGCCTCCAGCTTCCTATTCAAGACCTTCCGCCAGCGCGACGTGGCCGACCGAAAGCCCCTTCGAAACGTCACCGTTTTGATCGACAGCTCCGCGGACCACGGCTTGGTCAACAGAAACGGCACGGCGGAGACCAACGAGTTCCGCATCGGAATCAACTGCTTCTCCAACGTCAGCTCCTCCACCGCGGCTGACCGGCGGCGGGAGTTCTCCGGATTGGTGTACCACTACATGACTCACGTTTGGGGGTGGAACGGGAGAGGCGGAGCTCCCGCCGGGCTGATTTCCGGCAGGGCGGAGTACGTGCGGTGGAAGGCCGGGTTCGGGATGCTTCGAGTCAAGGCAGCGAGCGGCGGCAGCGGCGGGGAGAGGTGGGATCAGGGGTACTACTTGACGGCAAAGTTTTTGGACTACTGCGACGGTTTAAGGGCGGCGGTTAATGGGACGACGCCGCCGTTCATTCCGGGGATGAATATGTTGATGAAGGATGGCTATAGCGACGGGTATTTTAAGCAGCTGCTGGGAAAGAGCGTGGGCGAGCTTTGGCGGGAATATAAAAGTACCGTTGGGAAAGGACCGTTCCTGCCCATTCTCCACTAAGTTTTTGCTTATTTAACTTTTGTGTTGAATCATTATTTATGACGGTTTTGGTTTAGTTACTGTTACGGGTTTTTGTAAGCAAATGTTTGTTTACATCTTATTTATGGGCCTGGCTCATTTTCCGCGTTACTGTTACCAGGGCCTTTGTGATCCCATATTGCATCGCTGTTTCATGAGCTGAGGCACATTCCAAAGTGCGTGAACGTTGAGAAGTGAGAATTCTACCATCCCTAACCTTCACGAGAGCGGATCGTGAGACAAAGGGGTATTTAGTCACTTGATTAAGCCTCTCCCAACTTTTAGATCTGTACACACCAATCAGACGGTTAAAAAGTGGAAATGGCTATTTAATTAATGATAATGGTATTTTGGGTATTATGAAAAATTACGAAATATACAAACCGGACTTACAAACAGTACAAACCATACAAACAGAGGACAATACAAATTAGAGGGACAAAACATACAATTAATAAGAAACATACGAACTATACAAACAATACAAACTAGAGCGACAAAACATACAATCAATAAGAAACATACGAACTATACAAACAATACAAACTAGAGAGACAAACAATACAAAAGATACTAACAGTACAAAATGGCACTACTTACAATACAAAACAGTAAACTTGTAGTACAAATCAATGAATACAAAGTATACAAATCACAACATAAAGTACACAAACTAGACAAACAAACATTACAAATTACAATGTATACAAATTAGTCATATTACAAACTAGAATGATAAACGAGATAAATAGAATCGATACAAACATTACAAAACATGCTTACAAACATTACAAAATAGTCCGACAAACATCACAAAGCTACTGCTACTGTCGGAAAATCCATCGTCAGAAAACCTCCACCTCCAGATGATCTAACAGTTAGATTTACCTGGATTAGCTCCGGCCAATCTCAACGGTCAACTCTTCTTTTCTCTTAAATTGAACTTTGGGTTTGGGAATATAAAATCGTGGCCTGGGGTTTATCCATTTGAGGTTAGGGTATAATATCATACCCCAAATTAACTCAGTTTAATTCATGGTCTAGATAGAGGTATCTCACTATGACGCGGGGGAAGTATCCGGCCGGGGAAGAGACGCGGCATAAATATAAATTTTTTAATTAATTAATAATTGATAATTAATAAAGTTTTCAATTACTATATTATCCTTCATTAAATGGATTAATCTGAGCCATTAGATTTTAATTCAGTGGAAGGGTTGAGATTCATTTAGTCACTTGAGTAAGACAACCCCCTTAGTCACCTGATCTTAGCTAGGGGTGGGCAACGGGTAACGGGTATTTAGGTATACCCGTTCCCGTCCCGTTTTTTAAGGGTTACGGGTATCCATATTACCCGTAATATTATAAACGGATGGGACTTGGGATTGTACATTCCTAATATGGGTACCCGCGGGTTACCCGCGAATACCCGTTTGGGTAATATGGGTACCCGTTATACCCATTCAATACAAATGCAGAAATTTAATTCCGCCCAACCCAATTCAAAACCCATTGGCCATTTCGGCCCTTACCCTTTCAATTTCAATTCCATTTGGGCCCTTACCCTTTCACTCTTTCACTTACATGTTTGGTGAATTAGTAGAGAGAGTAGGGATGTGTTGAATGAAACTTTTTTTTTTATAATTTGGTACTTTGAATGATTTATTTCTATGTGTTGTGATTGTTCATGAATGTGTAATTTGCAAACCAAGTATTTGTGATTGTGATGTATTTTGTGTCTTGTGATTGTTAAGCAATTACAAGTTAAGTTTAAACTTTTGTTAAAATTTTAGTAGTTTAAACTTTGGGTATTTATGGGTAGTATGGGTACCCGTTATCCGTCCCGTACGGGTAATGGGTACCCGTTTCCCATATGGGTTTGGGATATGGGATGGACTTTGGTATCCAAATGGAAATGGGTCCCCGTTTAAAACGGGACGGGTATCCCGTCCCGTCCCGTTGCCCACCCCTAATCTTAGCCCTAACCTTCACTCCATTATAATATCTCATATTAAGGTCCGGCTTGTTGAACAGGATAATTTAATTTGATAGGTGAAAACTCAACAATTTAGATATTGTGTGATCACTCACTTAATAATATTAATGAATTCTAAATTCTAGATATTTCATATGTTCAAGATTATCAATGTTATATCAATGGTCAGTAAAAAATATTAATACTATTTGTCACAATTTACCCGATCATTGTTACTTATAGCTTAAACCATGAGTACATTAAATTAGGAGTATGCCTACTATGACATGTATGTCACCGTGACATGGACTTTTCGGCCGACCTAATCCTGAAGGAGGTCGACCGGATTGACTAACGAGAAAGCATTGCGGTCGACCTCAACGACCACCTGGTCGACCGCACTTAGTTTAAGTTGTTATTTTTGGTCGACCAGAATAAAACATCGGTCGGTCATTTCCTTGGCATCAGAAACAACATGGTCGACCGAAAAGGTATATAGGTCATTAACAAAATGGTCGACCAGATAAGGAAAGAGGTCGACCAGATAGAAGATAAGTGTTCTATCAATGTGTCCAACCATTTGACGTAAAATGAAGATCAAGTGTTGGTTTCGAGATCGACCTAATCCGGTACGAGGTCAACCGGATACAAGAAAGTCAACCTATGCCCCGTGTCTTTTTTGGTTATGTATGTCGATTTGTGTGGTTCTTTTGCTCATATAAATTATGTTTTAAACCATCATAAATATTCATAAATAATGATAACAAGAAATCATCAATTCATAGCATAACAACTAAACAAACTAACAAGAAATACAATAAGACAGAAATCATAATTGTTTACATATAAAAAAAAAACTAAAACAGCAAAATAACAATCAATAATCGTTTTGACCACTTAACAATAAAAACACACAATCTAAAATCTTCGAGTTCCTACTCATGTCCCTTCTCTCCCTCGTCCACATTTTCTTCATTGGTGGTGCTAGCATGATGGTGGTCCGATGTGGTGGGATGCATGTATCTTCCGCTGAAAGATAGCCACTCATCTCGCATCTCATTCACGGTCACCTGCATTGTGCTCATCTGGGCGGTCATTTGCCCCATGTAGTCGTACATGCCAGTCATCTGGCTGGACATCTGGCCCATGTACTCGTACATGCCATCCATGCGCTCCCACACATGCTCTAAGGTGATCGGTGGAGTTGAACTCTGTGCTTGCGGCATTGGCTCGTCTCCGGCTCTTTCATCACCATCACCATCACCATCACCATCATCATCATCATCATCACCACCATGGGCACCACGAGCATTGTTTATTCGGACATACTCACCATTACGCAACTCAAAGCCCATCTTTTTCAGAGATGAAACTATATAGAACTCCTGCCTTGAGATTCTTAACCCCACCTCACCACTTAAATTCACATTAAAATGCTTAAATAGCAAAGTGAGGATCATCCCATATGGAAGATTCCTGTTTGAACTCTTTGCAGCAGTAAGTATGTGGTTAAAGATCAAGTATGGCAAGTTCACCTTCTCGTCTAACAGTAGGTTGGTGAGGAGCTTCATGTCGAAGTAGGTGACTGTCTCCCGATGTCCACCCTTTGGCAGAATGTTGTAGGAAAGCATGTGGTGAAGAACTCTGGCTTGAACTTTCAGGTGGTTACTCGTTGGCCTACTGCAACCTTGAGCATCTTCCTCTTTATCAAGACCACATACCGTCTGGATTTGCTTGGTTCTCGTGAAATGAGTTTCATTCCAAGCAGTGTAAGAATGGATTCTCTTCCCCTCGTTTGGAGCCTCTAGTACTTGCGCCAACACATTCTTGCTGATGCGCATCACCACCCCATTCACATAGGTTTTAAATGCATGAATGGATCCATTTGCATTGCGCTCGTAGACGATGTTGTTGTAGAAGTACTGTACCATTTTTGGGTAGTATGGTACATTGAGAGATATCACCTTCAGCCACTCTTGCTCGACAAAGGGTCCTAGAAACCCGTAATTCTCGAAATGAGAATACGCATCCGTCGTCAATGGCCTTCCAGGAGCCACCCTGCGGTTGTGCATTCTTTTTTCTTCATAGTTGTCACTTTGCTCCTTGGTCTGGAAAAGATTGGGATTGAACTCTTCCCATTCCGAACTTGAGGCAGCAGCTTTTTGTGACTTTCTTTTCTTTTTGTTGCCAAACATCTTGCGATCAAACAAGCGAGAATACACGTTAGTCACATTTTTGAAATGAACAAAACGCGGTCGGACCACTCCATAAAGCGATCGACCTAAAACTGCACGTATAGATAAAACATAACAACATTAGGTCGACCTCTAAAACATCATAGGTCGACCTAATACACACCATTTGTCGAACACAGAAAATCAAGCACAAATATGGTTCGAAGGTGGACAAAATTAGAGTGCAAAACATCATAGGGCGACCTCCCAATCAGAAACGGTCGACCTCAGTTAATTTAAAACGAGAATGGGTCGACCTCAATTAGTTTCGCACAAATAACTGGAGTACAAAAATACATAGGTCGACCTCAAATGAAGTATAGGTCGACCTCGGAAAATTTAAAACGAGTCTCTGAATGGACCAAATGCTTAAAATGTTGAGTGCGAAACAGATTAGGTCGACCTCAAAATTACAATAGGTCGACCTCAATTAGTTTTGCACAAATAATTCGTAGGAGAATTGCAAAACTCGAATTTTTGCCGTCATAGGTTGACCTCAGAAGCATCATAGGTCGACCTCGGCAAATTTAAAACGAGTCTGAAATGACCCAAATGCTTTTAATGTTGAGTGAAAAATAGATCTGGTCGACCTCAAAATTTCAACAGGTCGACCATAGTTAGTTTCGCAAAAATAATTCGTAGGAGAATGACAAAACTCGTATTTTTTCCTTCATAGGTCGACCTCAGAAGCATCATAGCTCGACCTCGGCAAATTTAAAACGAGTCTTAAATGGCCAAATGCTTTTAATGTTGAGTGCAACACAGATCTGGTC